GTGCTCCACGGGATACGATGACGTTCTGTGGGATGTGGCGATGATGCACAGGACGTGGTGATGCTCCACGGGATGCAGCGATGCTCCACAGGGTGCGGCGATGGTCCATGGAGTGCAGCGATGCTCCATGGGATGCGGCGATATTCCTTGGAATGCAGTGATGCTCCACAGGATGCAGTGACGCTCCACGGGATACAGCAATGATCCACAGGATGTGTCAATATTCCACAGGATGCAGCAAAGCTCCACGGCATGTGGTGATGCTCCGTGGAATGCAGTGATGCTCCATGGGACGCAGCGATGCTCCATGGGATGCGGTGATGCTCCATGGGATGCGGCGATATTCCTTGGAATGCAGTGATGCTCCACAGGATGCAGTGACGCTCCACGGGATACAGCAATGATCCACAGGATGTGTCAATATTCCACAGGATGCAGCAAAGCTCCACGGCATGTGGTGATGCTCCGTGGAATGCAGTGATGCTCCATGGGACGCAGCGATGCTCCATGGGATGCGGTGATGCTCCATGGGATGTCATGATGCTCCACAGGATGCAGCGATGCTCCATGGCATGTGAAAATGCTCCATGGGATGCGGCAATGCCCCATGGGATTTGGTGATGCTCCATGGGAGGCTGCTCCAGACGGGCCAGCAGCTTCCTCAGCAGGAGCTTTCCTGCCATCCACCCTCATTCCCTTCCCTTTGGGGCTGGCCACCAGAGCAGCCTCCGCTCTCCCAGGTGTTTCCCGGCGCTTCCCGCATGAAGGGCCTGGGCGCTCGGAGCCCAGCAGCCCCACTTCATCCCCCTCTCCGCATCCCAGCATGTTGCAGAGAGCCGAGCGCCCCGTGGAATTGTGTCCCCAGGGGTCCTGGGACCTGGACACGGTGCCATGGCCAAAGCACGGGGAAAACGCGGAAATTTTTCAGGGAAAGGCATGTGCAAAACAGAGTGGGGCTCTTGAGCAGCCGTCTGCATCACCTTCTTCAAAGCTTCCGCTTCTTTTTATTATTATTTGTTCTTTATTATTATTCTTTTTCTTTGGCAAAAAAAGTATTCTCTAATGCTATGCTCAGAACCAAAACCCCACAGAGTTGTGGCGTCCATGGAAATTTTTAGTTTTGATCATTTCATTCTGATTTTGGCTTTTGACTTCCTGTGTTGCGTAGCGTGGCGATTAAGGGTAAGCTCTTAAGCAAAACAAAACAAAAATTTCAAAATGTCAAAATAAAACCGAGCCAGTGATGTAAAACTACTCATCTTTGGCAAGCCAGGACTAAATATATTGGTCTTTTAAAAAAACATGAGTAAAAATGCCTGTTAACACCAGGTGTTTTCCAGAAGGTTTTGGTTGTGATGGATCACCATTTTCTAACCATCCTGCTGCTCCATCCCACCGGAATCGGGCTGGTTCTGCTGCAAACGCCCATCCTCCTGACTCATGTGCTCCCTCCGTGGCCCTGAAAGGAAATGGAGAAGAGCCGGCCTGAACATGGGACATCATCCCCATCCCATAACCAGCGATCCTGCAGCGTGTTCTTCCAGGGGGAAAATTTTAAATGCATAAAAAATGCTTAAAATGCATAAAAACGAGCCCCCAGGAGAGCAGTTCAGCATGAGTTCTTTAGCACAAGTTCAGCATCCGCTTTTGTTCCCCCAATGGGTTTCTTTCCTCCCACCTCTAGGTTGGGAGTTAAATAAAGGTCAATTTGGAGAGATTATTTAAAAACACGTAAATGCCCTTACATTAAATCCGGC